TACCAAGAGAAATAGAGAGTCATAGGACAAATTTCCAATATTTGTCTACAAAACTTATCGATAATTCTGATTGAATCTCTTCCTGAGTATTTATGCATGATTAACGAAGTATAGACTATCTGAATATTTCATTTCTGCTTTTGGTATACAAGCAAACTTGCGCGACGGAAAGCTGTGATTTTGTATCCTAAAGAAAGGGATTTTTGTCCTGTAAAAGATGATTGGAGGGCAATATTTTATGTTGCTGAAGCTAAAATTTCAAATCTTTTGGCTTTCTAATATGTTTTGCACGAAGAAATACAAATAACTATTCTCGAGTTCCGAATGACTACAATGAATGATTGTGTTTAATAGCCGTAGAAAAGGATTCCGACTCAAATTCAAGAATCACATTCCAAGTACACGCAAGCATAGTCTGTTAAGCCATTATCGTGTACACACACATATTTATTGAAAAAATCAATAAACTTTCTGTGCCGAAATGATTAGAATTGCAGAATTGAGGAAAGAATACACATTGAATTAGTCGTAAAGTACAGGGTTCAATTGTCCGTAAAGGAAACTGCTCTGTATAAAAGATTCTGTATAAAAAGGAATTAATGCTGCTTAGTCTAATTTGTGAACTTTCTGTCACCCTTCTCCTAGAACTGTGCGTTCCAGTAATGAGATAAGGTATCAGATAGATGGATGGGTAAATAGGCACGGAGTATGAGTAACTAGTTAAAGTGATATATCAAAATTATTCATCTTTCATTTTTGTCAGAAACGATGCAGTATTCATTCAAAGACATGAGGTTGCGTCTGCATTGTCATTTAATGATAAATGACAGCAAAAAGCAATTGCTGGAGAAATATTTGAAAAACTCTTAGACGAATCTTTTTTTCCACAAATTGGTAATATTTGTTGCATAAGTGAATGAAAGCACTTAGTAATACACAGATTACAGCTTTTCTCGAGACAGTTTTCGTCCTCAACTTTGATATGTGCTTGGATTTATGATTTATTTTGGTTATTTGCATTTAATTTATTCAACGTATTTTGTGTATAAATTTGTAATGCTTATTAGTTTTTCTTCGCTTTTATGCAATAACATAAATTTTTGTTTGTGTCTAGTAACATTTACAAAGCGAATTGCAGTGTTAAGACTACTTAATATTAAGATTACTCGTAACTGTTAAGACTACTACATCGTTTCAATGTAATAAAAATGCTAAGGAGATGGTTGAGCATACAAGTCATTTTCTGGTGTAGAAGGCAGAAAGAGTGTGTACGATATACAGTTTCCCTGTTTGTAGCAATGCAACTAATTAACTGGTAATTTGTTAGATTGAAGCTGAAAAATTACTACCTATTAGCTAATGTTTGTTTTATTTGAGCTGTTAAGAAACATAACGACAGAGAACAGCATTTAAGGGATGTATTGGCAAGTTTATTTATATTCGCAGTTACATGCCTCAAATACTTGTTGATAAATATGGCTATCACTTCGATACAGTACGAAATCAAAGTGTGCTTTATTAGTCATTGCTAAAGATGTTCTGGGAAAATACTGAGTGCATGCATAGAGTAAAAAAATCCATTAGATGCCGCTTCTTCAGGTTTTGGACAATTTTGGGCTACCATTTGATTGTTGTTTGAAACGGGAAGTTGGGGTATTTGTTGCCTTACTATTGGCTAATTACGACGTTTAGTTTAATTATTGAGAAGTTACAATTGTTTTATCTGGATATATTTGAGACTTTAATAGTTTATTGGTATTCCATGTAGTTGTGTCCTTGTTGAGAAGAATGCCTAGTTTTATTGTTGCGCATTTAGTTCTAAGTACTCAGTACTTGGTTCTTTCTTTGAGCATTTGAATCTGTTTCTGAGCATTGCTCTCTTATTAGCTGTAATTATTTGGTTAATAGATTCGAAATGTATTGAATTTTTTTCTGCTGGGCGATGTAAAATCAATAATTATGAGACCGCCCAAACTTGATTCCTTTTTGCGCGCCTAATTTCTATTGATGATTTGCGGTTTTGTGTTCTTTAAATTATTGAGAAAAGGAGTAATTGGGCAGACATGCCAGCTAAGAACCATTAGTGCGGTTTCTGCATAAGACGGTGTCATCAGATACCACTTCATCAGGTTTTGGACAATTTTTGGGCCATCATTTAATTGTTATTCTCTGTTTAAGCTAGCATAATCAAGACTTTTCTATGGCAAATTGTGCATGCATTATAAATCTGTGGTATTCTTCTTTCAGTACTCAGCTCTGCATCTTTGATTACTGCTTACAACAATGTATTTTGCTTCATATGAGTGTTCTCCTATATATTGAAAGACTTTATTGGTTTATTATTGCTCTAATATTGTTTGACTTGAGTTGACTAGCATATATGTTGACGGATGTAATGATTTAATTCCCTTCAGTCTACGAATACTTTAGCAATTTTTATACTTAAGTGCTATTTTAAACATATTTTTTAGATATGCAGACTTCTTTACTTGTTAAAAATTATTGTATGTTTGTGATGTAATAATAAGCTTATCTGTAAAGAATAATGCAGATTCAGCTTAGTTGAAATTGTCAGCTAGGTCTTTGGAACTCACCTATCTATACTGTCAGTACTGATGGTTCCTGTTGAGATTTTACAGCGTAATTGTTGAGAAGAGCAGATATATTCCGTCTTATTGTTAATGTTGTTAGCTTATTTGTTGAAAAGTGGATCAACTGACTTCCTTGTATATAGCAAAAAGTACATTTATCAAGTGCTGGTTAATAAATAGAATATTTACATGTTCAGTAGTGAAAAAGCAGTAAATTTAGCACCTTCTTTTTTAGCAGTTTTATAGACAAATATTGGAAATTTGTCCTATGACTCTCTATTTCTCTTGGTAGATCTATTTTACCAGCTTGCAAAGGAACTCGATGCCATATTCAACCTTCATATTTTAATAATTATCAGATATAAAAGATGAGCAAATCTCGTGACTTGAAATTAAGTAATAATTGGTTGAGTACGCAATCAGTAAGCATTTGAACAAATAATATTTCGCTACGATTTATTGAATTTTCAATTAAGTTTTCATCACTCGAAACTTAATTGAAGAATGAAAAAACGTTTAAGAGCATAAAAATTTACTTTATTTATTTCATCCTAAGAAATGGAATAAACAATGAAGAATAACTGCATTTAATTAGATAAATTTGAATTTTTTCCATAAATTTGAGTTGGGGAACATGAAGTAATGAATGGCAAATATTTCGATACATAAATATGGTATGACAGATGTAAGTAAAAAGCAAACGCAAACACTTTGATCGGATCTCTCCTCGCTGCTATTTTGAATAAGCCTTAGCTGAAAATTAAAAAGTCGTATTATATATTCAAATTTTCGGTTGGACGAGAAGAATTTTATAAATCCTTTGCAGTTTACAACTAATGTAATTCACGAAGTAACTACGATTACATAGAATTTTCGTTTAGTTTAGGAGGAAAATATGAATGATCTCGTTAATGAACGTTCTGATTCAGGTGTATAATCTATTACTTAATAAACGTGTGCATGAAAGATACCGCAATATTTTAAATGACGTTTAGATCTTAATTTTCTTCTGAGTATTCAATGTGCACTACTAATCGTAATGATAAAGAGATGAAGATGTGATAGGTTTTAAACTAATTTTAATTGTTTTGAACACCTTCAACTGAAGTAATTAAAAGCAAAATATCTTTAGGACTTACTTTTGCAAACGTATGCCTGCACTTTCTTGTTAGACGAGCAGTCGGTGGCTTTCCACTCGCCTGCATTTGGAGAGAAAGCACAATTTTTGTCTTCGGAAATCCTTGGTTCACCTGGTGTCCAGAAGAAATAGATAGCTGGATCATGATTGTCACCGATATTCCAGTACCACTCACCTTTCTCTTAAAAATTACTGTGAATTACGATAATTTTTGTATGAAGGGCTTTTTTGAAGTGAGTCGTTATATGTATCTCTTTCTTAAAATCATTTTTCAATGGGTGATACTTGAAGCACTGAAAACGATTCTGATAGCATATTCCGTATTAATCACATGAAATGATGCCAGCAAACCGTTTTTATGAAAGTATTAAGACTTGTCTTCAAGAAGAGAAATTAATAGGGAAAAACTCAAAGGAACATAATTGCACTATTTATTTTAACTTTACGATATATTATTAGTACAGAGAAGGCTACCTTTCTTCAAACCCAACCAGAATGATCTGCCCCCAGCCATTCCTGAAAATGTTTCTAATGTACAAGATTCTTTCCTTCATCTTTCTCTAATTTTTCTTGAAGCTTGTCGAATAGTTTAGTGCTAAGGTGCGAATCAGTATTATAATGCTAAAAAATAATTTCAAAAGAGATTCTAGTCAATAAAATCTTTAGTGACTACTCCAAATTTTTCCCAAATTGAACAGCAATGCATTAATCTCAGTTCTTTCACTTGCACTACTTTTACACAAGAGTAATTTCGCATGCAGCTAGCTAATCGTTCTGTATAAAGCTTATGCACCATAAGCTATCAATGCTTCTTCCTCGTTTCTGATATCAATCATCTCGCTATCCAATATATGGCATATAGAACGGATCGCAAAACGTGGCATGTAGTTTGAAAAGCCCTTAAACAAATACTGTCAGGTATTATTGTAAGCTCATATTGCTGCAAGCTAATCAAATCAAAAATCGTTCTTGCAATTAGCAGAGAACACTTTAATTTTAGATGATATTAAAATGCAAAATATTTGCTTTTATATAGAAAAATGCGTTTTAAAATATTTTTAAAAAATGGCTTTAAAAATAAAAACTAAACCTCTTAAATTGATTTATGATGGAAAATATTAGTGAAACTGAATGAATGGCTATAATGCTGATGAACAAGCATAAATAACTATCTCATCTAATTACATTCATATTTGAATCAAAAAATTAAATGTGTTAAAATTCTTCAATTTCACTTCTTTAAATTCTATAACTGTTATTATTTAAAAAATAGTGACAAACCGCAATGTAGCAATTGCCATTATAGTAAGTGAAAAATGTTTGACATTTCTGACCTGAAATTCTTGGTAAAAATAATAGAAAACATCGTTTCCTGTATAATGAGGGATTTAAAAATGTATAGATCCAATCCGTGAATCATTATTTTATATTGAAAAAGCATACAAAAAAAGTATTTACTACGAAACTTGAACACCACTAAATTACTGTTGTACAAAATAATAAAAGAAAGGCAACCTTTATGTTTAGTAGCACTGGTAGCAAGATATCCTCGTTTTATCATAGCTGAAAATGAGTACATAGTACATCGTGAAAAGTTAAGAAAGGTGAAATGTGATTATTCATTTTTCCAAGATATTGTCAAAATAGTCTATACTGCTATGCAAATATGAATAAAACTTTAAATCTATAATGTTGAAGATTTATTGATCAAAGAAATAATCTATCAATGAATAACTCTTTAATAAATTATTTCAGTCTTTTCCAAAGAAAAGTTAGGACCATTACTTCTACAAAAGAAAAAACTTGATCCGTACTGTCGAGGAAAGACAAATTCTCTCTCATCTGACATGTTTTTGCCCCCTAAAAGTTGGATCCAATTGTCTTGCAAAGCTAAATCTGAAAATTCATTCAATGATGCTCGCTATTTAAGCAAAGTCTGGCCAAACTTGATGTAAATAATGCTATTTCGGATTAACTGATAATCAGAAGTCATTTTCAAACTAAATCATTTGAGCCTCCTTTACAAGAAATCTCGAACCAGCAGTGAATACACTATTATTGCCTTCCAATATTTTATTAAAAAGCTGTCTTTGCTATACAAACAACAAATGAAGTAAGTCAGAAAATAAATAAGGTTTTATGTAACTGCTCTAAATGCTCAAAAAGTAGCAAAACTGTAAGAAATAACATATATCTTAGTTTCAAACAAGACAAATTAATCATACAGTGCAGCATAACATCATCAATTTCAAGTTCCTTCTCAGTTCCTCTATCAGGTATAGAAGCCAGTACCATGTTGTTATTCTTGCAATGTTGTTCTGCATCATTCTTACTTAACTTCTCTTTCACCTGAATAAAGAAACGGTTTCAACAAATTGAAAATGAATCCGCCAATTTCATTTCTGATTAAAAATATTGCAATTTGAGTATCGATGTCTTGAAAGAACAAAAACCAACCATATATATAAGTTATATTACCCGAGTTTGTGATTATGGTGGACGATAGACTGAGCCTAATCTTCAAAAAAACACACCATTTTCTCGTAATTTATTGTTTTAAGAACAACCTACGTGTGATATTGATTTGATTATATTTATTTATTTTTAATTGTTCATATATTTATTTAGAGTCTAAATTTTTCGATCTGAAAAAACATACCGAACAATAGAAACTTCCTGCAAAATAAAAATGTTGCTTTTTAGAACATTCAAATCCTGAAATTCATAATGTTTGAGTACGAATTGAAGATTGATACAAAGAATATCTATTCTTTGCTCTCTTAATTAACCTTGATGTTACGCAAAATATTTCTATGGCGATCAACAAAATTTTTATAGTTGGGGAATGCACTGAAAGTAACATGAAACTTAAACAATCCGAATGTTAAGCAGTAAAAAGTTTTGTATTAAATTGAACGTCCTTGACTCCTTCTATAATTTTAAATGAATCTTGTCGACTACTTATTAGGTTATGCAAACCTGAATGTCGCTGGACATGTTCACATTTGTCTTGCAGGTTACAAAATTCATCGAATTTGCATCGTATGCAATCTGAAGAAGTGTAGTTGACAGTTTAGAAAGACAGCAGTCTGAATGAAATGAAAAACGAATATGATCGGGACAATACGCAAAAAACAAATCACTTTAATAATGGATTTTAAGGACAGAAAGGAAGTTAAACTAATTACTATTCAATAATCTGTAAGCTTATAAAAATTTGGTTCAAATTTTATGTTTATTTATAACATTTAAATGCATTTCGAATTTTAAAATGCTGCGAGGTGAATCAATCCTGTTGTAAATAAGCAATATTAAAAAGAAATATTAGTTAACAAGAAGGTGTCATTTGCATGCCAAGCGCGTTCTAAAAAATTTGAATATTGCAAACTTGATCTCATATCTTTATCATTTGCTGAATATTTTCAGTAAACAAAGTACTGCAAGTAATAAATAATAACATAAAAATATAGTTACTAACTATAACTTATAACTTCATAGCTTACATCGCAGCATGCAAATGTTGACAAAATTCTATCTTCCATCAAATGCATGATAAATCATTCAAACACTTACCAGATAAAGAAATGTCTCTATATAAGCATACAAGATTGTGGCACATAAATTCATTTGAGTTTTCTCGATTGCAATCCGTCGAAACACGACACTCTAAAAAAAATTTGCTTGCGAAAATAGTCAATTTTTTTGATCATAGAAAAACTATGTTTTCATTAAATAATTTGAATCAAACATGAATTATTATTGCTATCAATATTTCTGCGTATTTTGATAAAATAACAAATCTTGATTTTTAACTACACATAGTTCTTCTCACGTTTATAAATCAAGGTATAGTTTCTTGTATCTGCGCAGGTTCCAGCGAAACAAAAAGCGTTTGATGCACATTTATTTATCGAGCTATGACAATCTTAAAATTTTTTCAATAATTTCTTTTTGCATTAACACAGTAAGCAGCAGCTAACTTCATCATTTTTATCATAAATGGAAAAAAAAGGTTAATTGTTTCCTTTTTGACATCAAATGTTTATAAATCAAGGTATAGTTTCTAAATACATGCAGTAATGTAGTATGATAAGGTATCAAGTTAATATTTATTGAACACATACTTAGATCCCATGTAACCCATCTCGGTGAATGACAAGCAAAGATTATACATTCATAATAAAATGGACACCTTCTTCTCTGATCACAATCTGCAATAATAGAAGAAATACTCTAGAACTCAAATATATCTTAATGTTTCGTACAGTAATTTTTGAATATATTTTTTGGTATAACCCTATCATAAACTAATTCCAGAAATGTGGTTGAAACAATTTATATAGATAGTCTGAAAATTTTGAATCTCTGAAGTAATAATTGAAAAGACAAGCGCAAATGTTTTTGATATGATCAGATTATTGTTTCAGTGGTATGTGATTGAGTGAAAAACTATGCTTACATTATACATGAAAGTTGTGATTTGAGAATACTTACTAATGTATTTGACGTTGGTGACATGCCTAGTACACATTTTATTGCTCCATTTTTATTTTCATTCTTCAATTCAACATTTACTTTAATTTATGGCTTAAATCAAAAGGAAATATGCTAACTTACTCATAAATAAATATGTAACGGTGCTTGTGCGGCAAACAGATGACTTTGCTTTGGACTCGTAATTCGTAATTTCCCCGCAATAGGAATCCGAAAGTTTACTTTTCGTAGGACAGGTGAACATTTGTGAATTACAATCTAGAAGAATGAATGCAGCAGAATTTGAAGCTAAAATAGGCAAAGACTTAACAGTGACTCTTATTTTATGCTAATTATCAATCGGATTATCAACGAGCTGATGTTATTTAGAGATTTTTTCAAAACAAAGAAAAAATACCTATATTAGTGAGTGTTTGCCGACGGTAAGCATCAGTTAATGCAGCGCAATAAGCCCCTTGAGTGCATATGAGATTTCCGCTGCAGTGCAAATCAACTAAGCATCTGCCGGCTTCAAAAAGCCAATCTTAGTAACGACAGAATCAATTTGTTGGCAAAAGTTTGCTAGATAGAAATTTTTTTAGGGCGTCAAACTGAGTATCGTACAGTAAATTTTTCAAATAAAAGTTGACATAATCTAATTAAATATCTTAGAGATAAGGTAAAATAAGCATTAAAAAATAAACCTCCTTCTGGTTTTACTACATAAGTAAGTAAACCACTCCTTAGACGACATACATTTGTATCACATGTATAACCTTCATCGCAGTCTCCGTCATAGAAACATGCTGAAACCAAAAGTAATCATATGATTATTAGTTGATTCGCTGTTTTGTGTACCAAACTGCATCTTCTCATTGCAAAACAAAACAGTATCATTCATCACTTTTTTGAATTTTCGCCACATTTTGTGCTGAAGGATAAATATGTGAGATATCATCTGCCAACTTTATGCTACTTTGCACTACACTATAATTGAGGTCATGAAAAGGTTAAAATTATTTGTAGCATTCATTTCTCCGAAATTGTGTGATAAATTCAGTATTTAGTTCACAAGCACTTACCTCCAATGTCCTCTTTATTAGACTCTAATATTCCAAACTTCTCAATACAACGGCGCCATTCACATCGTCCACTAATACAGTCATTGTTGGTTCGACATCTTTCTAAATTTAAGGTATTTTGCACAAACGATTTTTTATTTATTTGTTTGAGAAAATTCACATGAGCTGAAAGCAAGAATTTTAAATTATAATGGCTGAAAGCCATAATTCTTTCATTCATTCATCATTCTTAGCAATCGTTTGCTTATACTTTGTGAGATTTCTTCGCATTCAAACTACTCGATGCTCTGATTAGAACAAACACTTTTTTATCTGAAGCCATTAATTGATCATTTGATAAAATATAAGCACTTACCAGATAAGGTAATAACAATAAGGTCGAGAAGTCGTATTATAAATACAATTTTCAGCATTGTGCTAGTTTTCTAAATGAACAGTTCTTAACAAATATTTATATGCTCACCTCTGAATCTTCTTAGGATGAGCAAATTAGCATTGCAATGAAGAAATATTTGCTGTTTATGTCAGGATGAATTTGCATAACAATAGAAATTAATACGATCTTTTCTGTGAATAAATATATTTTTTTAATTGGTTCATTTTTTCATGCTAATATTGAAAAAAAACTTGTACATAAAATATGCGACGAATAGCACGTCATTTTCAATATTAAACAAACTTGCTTTTGCTCAAGCATTTTTCTAAAAATTGTTTTGCATATAAAGATAGGATGAAAATTTACGTTTCTACCTGAATTAAATGAATTCTAGTCGTTCATTCAATTCAGCTGAAATGCAAACAATCTGCCAGCGAAGCGGATATTTAACAAATCCTAAAGCGATTAATTGCTCAGTCACTAATCATTACTGAACAAGTAGAAGTCCACTTCAAGTCTTGCTAAAAGAACAAACTCGCAAAATTTTTCGTAACTCTTGCTCTAAGATCAGGCTTGCACCAAAAATCTGATTCTTCCTCTGTCCTATCTGCTGCTTTTCACAGTCAGCTACTGTTCATCGTGAAATTTCCCAGAAAAAGAAACCCCACAACATGTAGTAATGTCTCGCTAATATCAAATAGCAGCACCCATCTTCAATACTTTCTTGGAACTCAAAAAATTAATAAATAAACTTGCAGTAGTGCAATCGTTCGTGTGCTCAGCACTATCCAATTTTTGTCATTTCCTTTAGCAATATTTGTGCTTGCTTTTAATTCATTCCAAACGTAGTTTGCAATGACTGCTGTCATGGATAAGTTCAAGACAGCAATTTATTTTACCATCTACGAGGATGTTTTCTCGTGCATGTGTTGTATTTTCAGCGTGTGCGTTGTTATATCTCTAGCGTGTGTGTTGTATTTCTCTCGTGTGAGTGTTGTATTCCCCGTGTGCGTGTGTGCTTTAATTCTCCTGCGTACGTGTGCTGGATTTCCCCAGTGAACTTGTTGTATTTCTCCCCACTGCATGTTGTATTTCTCCTGTGTATGTATATCTTTTCTAATAATATATAAAGTTGTATTACTGAAAATAGTGTGTTGGACAATATAATGAAAAGAGACCGATGACCTACTGCCCACAACTAAATATTAATATTAGTTGACCAGAACTAATATTTAGTTCTAGGCAGTCCGTTTCTTTTCTAAACTATTTCAATTAAAAAATGTTTGGGTCACAGTCCTGGTGAGAACGAAAAAGTTGACGTATATGGGATGAAACAGAACACGGATAAATAACATCAGATAATGGACTTAACTTAATTTTTCCGCATATTTCATTGTCTGTTTGCTACCTTCAGAATCCATATTCAATATAAGCCTCCCTATTGATCGTAAAATATAAGGGGTACATTTCCTAATCTGTATAGTATCCATAAGGAGTTGATTGGAAAGTGATGATAAATCTTAATTGAAGATTATAATGTGTAAATGGATAAGCTAAAATGAACGTGTTGTTCAACGGCAAACGGAAGAAAGGCGTCAGATTGCTGTGTGAAGCGAATGTGTGCTTCGCTGAGAAGGAATGTGATTTGATTTATTACTTTGTCTCTCTCAATC